ACTCTTTAAAGTAGAGACACTACATACTGATATACACCTGAACATCAGCAGGAGAGGACTCTTTAAAGTAGAGACACTACATACTGATATATCAGCAGGAGAGGACTCTTTAAAGTAGAGACACTACATACTGATANATATCAGTATGTAGTGTCTCTACTTTAAAGAGTCCTCTCCTGCTGATGTTCAGGTGTATATCAGTATGTAGTGTCTCTACTTTAAAGAGTCGCTGATGTTCAGGTGTATATCAGTATGTAGTGTCTCTACTTTAAAGAGTCCTCTCCTGCTGATGTTCAGGTGTATATCAGTATGTAGTGCCTCTACTTTAAAGAGTCCTCTCCTGCTGATGTTCAGGTGTATATCAGTATGTAGTGTCTCTACTTTAAAGAGTCCTCTCCTGCTGATGTTCAGGTGTATATCAGTATGTAGTGCCTCTACTTTAAAGAGTCCTCTCCTGCTGATGTTCAGGTGTATATCAGTATGTAGTGCCTCTACTTTAAAGAGTCCTCTCCTGCTGATGTTCAGGTGTATATCAGTATGTAGTGTCTCTACTTTAAAGAGTCCTCTCCTGCTGATGTTCAGGTGTATATCAGTATGTAGTGCCTCTACTTTAAAGAGTCCTCTCCTGCTGATGTTTTTCTCAGGATACGTGACGACTATTATCGAAGATGCTAAAATCTACGCCACTCACGCCAAAAAGTCGACGGTTGACGCTGACGACATCAAGCTGGCGATCCAGTGCCGCATGGACCAGTCCTTCACCTCGCCGCCGCCGAGAGACGTAAATATTATATATATTCACGTTGAATTGTTAAAATCCGCTCTTGTATTGTGTCATCGTTGCACCCTTTAAGTCAGGGGGGTCAAACCACATTTCATGGCGGGCCACATCAGCGTTAAGGGGCCGGTTGTAACTTTAAGACTATATACATATATATAAAATAATGTATCACATTATTGCCTCTGCATTGGATTGTTAACTGATAGGGTAATAACTTCATAATTAACTACGTCTGAAAGCAGAAGTCTGGGGCAAATAATTGAAAGTCTCTTCAGTGTCACAAAATGAGATGCATTGTGGGACATGTAGTTTATGGGCAACGTGCTTCTGTAAGGCGGCATGTAACCGTATAATAAACTTATTACATAATTTTTCGGACCACCCCAGCTTTAAAGGTTGTATATGTCTAATGATCATATCATCATTTCAAACATATAGTCTTACACTCTGATTGCCTTTTACTCTGTTAAAGTGTAGTTTTATTCTTGTATGTGTTGAACAGAGACAGATGTTTAGGGTTTTCATTTCAGGAGGGCAAAGGAAGTCAAATGTGGATTTAAAAATGGGGTTTAAAGGACGAGGAGGTTTAGTGGCTTCATGGTGGGATGTTTAGATGATGCCTAAGAGACTTTCAGGGTGGGACCAGTTGGCTTTTCTCTCGACTACATCATGTGACTGTGTTCTGGCTGCAAAGCCATTTGATCCTCTGAGGGGGAAGCTGCTCTGTTCCTGCATTCAGATCCATTTCACTAGGATATATTCACTTTCTTTATTACTTTATTAAATATAACAGAAGACACACTTTGTCCCTGAATCATTGATCCGTTTCCTCCACAGTATATATATATATGTTCTGTGTGTTTCATGTTGTAGTTCCTGCTGGAGGTGGCGCGGCAGAAGAACCTGACCCCCCTCCCGCTGATCAAGCCGTACACCGGACCCCGCCTCCCCCCCGACAGATACTGCCTCACTGCGCCCAACTACAGACTGAAGACCGTGCAGAAGAAGGTATATATTTCTAAAGAGCTTTATTTGGTTTTATTAAACCCTGAGCTTTGGGTCTTTATACACCATTTTTTTATATTTTATTTCATATTTTTTTGGACATTTTAACTTAAACTTGTTTTGGCTATATGTCTTTTATTGCTTTTTTTAATTAAATTAATTGTTATTCTTTATTTGCAAATCATATCTCTTTAGCGACCCGAAAATGGCAAATTAAATACGGAACAACATTAGTCAAATAAAAATGAAAAATGTACATAGGGGTGGTTTGAAATGACAAATATCTGCACATGTATCGACTTAAACATGCACACGTGTGTGTATATATATATATATTAGGGATGGGAACGATTAATCGAATATTCTAAAAATATTCAGGTATTCAAATATGAGTTATGAATATTTGTTATGCTGGGAGGGATGCCTAAGTTGATTACATATTATCAAATTGAATAATTCAATGTATACGACAGTGCCATAGCTAAGTGTGTTAGGTCTAAAGGTGTGTGTTGCTCCGCTCACCGGACCCTCACAGCGGGCAGAGCTGCAGGTGCTGATCTCTCTCACGTCCGGTTATACTTCACTCACGTTTATGTCCAAATCCATCAGATCTAGTTGGAGCTAATGATATGGCTGCTGCCCCTCCCTGCACGCAGAGCACGCAGACTCAAACCTCATCTTATGCCCACATCCCAGCTGAGAGGGTCTTCTCTACAGCTGGCCTGATCGCCTCCGCCTCTCCCCTGAGTAGACATGCTCATATTCTTAAACAAGAATGAGTATTGAATAGCTGCATTCTGTGATAGGCCCTGCTATAGGTTGTTGATCTCTGTTGTCACGGGTTACGTTACCCTGACCCGTCATGTTGTTCGTGTGTGAGCCCTCTTTCATTTAAAAAACAAGTTATGTTTTAAGCATGAAAGCTGAAGGCCTATAGCTGTCAAACTGTGATCCCCAGCTCAATACATTTGACACATTCCACTTGGTTTCTAAACTTATTTGAACATGTATTTATTTATTTATTTAAAAAAAATGTTTCCCACATTTTTTTATAGGATATTTACATTTTGGTTAATCATGAATGACAGGTACATGAATATAATAATGGCACACATACAGTACCTACACACATGAAATAAAGCCTCTGAGTCTTTCTGTCCCTAACACCTCTGTTTCCTGTCAGCTGACCTCCTCGGGGAGGATCACAGTCCCTCGCCTCAGCATCGGAGCCGTCTCCAGCCGGCCGAGCACCC